AGTTTTGGTACCAAAACGGGAAGAGATTAGACTGGAATTGATGTAATAAATTTATGATTTTGGTAATAAATTGTTTATTTGTTTCAAAAGAATGATAATTTATTTTGACAAACCTTCGGAGGCCCATTCACGAACCAAGACACCTACTTCTTATAAAGCTGCGGGTGGGGTCGCGATAATAATCTGTAGACAGCTTAGTCACTGTCAAATTGAATGTCCTACTTCTGACTGCCTGGAGATGGTAGCAATAAATCTAAAACAGCCGATTCAATAATAATAATAATAATAATAATAATAATAACAATAATAACCGCTTACAAACCACCTAATAAGAAATTCCCAGTAAAGACCTTGGATATAATGTTTAACTCCATTAATAACATGGTGTACAATAATAATAAGAAAATAATTGTCATAGGCGTCTTAAATAGTAAAAATAAAGCATGGAACTGCAGAATTACAATAGAATCCTCAAACATAAATTACCTCTTTTTTTCACTCGGTAATACCTGATCTTGATTCGGATCATAACCCCATAATAATATCATTTCAGAGCACTGTCTAAGTTAACAATTTAAGAAAACTAATAAATGGTAAAGTATACTGGGATCTCTTTAGTCTAAAAATAACCACGCAATGTTCGTTCCCAAAAGATCTCAAAAACGGTACTGATATTGACCTGCAAATAAATAATCTAATAGAAGCAATAAGCATCGCGGTTAAAGAATGATGTCAAACAAGTGCAATGTAACAATCATTCATCGTACTGGCTACCGAAACACATCGTGGACTTGATAAAAGACAAACACAGGATTAGAAGACTATGACAATTGCGTAGAAGGCCACACTTAAAAAGGAAATGAAACTTCTCATGCAAAAAAGTAAAATTTTTAATCGACGAACCTAGATATAGTTCATTTAAACAATATTTAACGCAAATTACCCACGGCACTCCGTCTCTATGGACTACTATCAAAAAGGTTACCAAAGAACAATCTAGAATACCATTATTTAAATCGGGCACTAGTATTTTCTATACAGATGACGAAAAAGCGGAGGCGTGTGCTGTTCACTTTTCAAATACTTTTAAACTCAATCCAATAGTAAACAATGTATAATGAGCAAATTTTAAACAGTATGAAGCAACCTATATACTCCGCAGATGTAAGAACAAAATTCATATCACCCGCAGAACTTAAACGCACAATAAACAAACTTAAAAACATAAAAGCAGACGGAAATGACCTAGTAACTAGTCAGATATTAAAAGAATTACCGAACTCCACAATTGCACTAGTAACAGCTACATTAAATGCAGCTTTAAGACTGGGTTATTACCCAAACAATTGAAAAAATCGCAATAATGTTTCCAATAAACAAACCAAATAAATGTTCACAACTACAGGCCAATTAGTCTTTTACCTTCATTAGCTAAAGTGTTTGACAGACTGATTTTAGCTCGGATTTAAATAGATTTTAGATTTAAATAAATACTTATACGCTACGAACGCCATACCTGATCCCTAATTCGGCTTTAGAGGAAAACAACTCGACTGAACACCAAATTTAAAGAGTTACGGATATGATCGCGAAAGGTTTTCACGACAAAAAGTACACGGCAGCTTTCTTTTTAGACATTACTAAAGCGTTCGACCGCATCTAACACACAGGACTGAAATATAAATTTCGCCATCTAGGCATCACTAAATATCTTCAAGATATTATTGAAAGTTTCTTGTTAAACAGATCATTTAATATTAAAATGTATGACACCACGTCGGATAAATACAGAATCTCAGCCGTCCACAAGGTTCCCCAATCTCACCGACTTTATTCAAAATAAACCTTGCCGATTTTCCGGTATTAATGGATACCGAAATAGTCTTGTTCGCAGATGACACCGCCAGGCTCTCACAACATGAAGAACTGGGTATTGCCCTGGAAAACCTGCAAAATGATTTAAATACATTAATTAAATGGACTGATAAATGGAGAATCCAGATAAACCTAAATAAATCACAAGCAAAAATTTTCTCGCTTAAAATATTCACCTCCCACTGTTAACAATTAGTGACTATCCTGTTCTCTGGCTAAAAAATAACCAACCCCTGAAATACTTAGGAGTTAAATTAGAAGATTAACATGGAAAAACCACATAATTGATATTGCTAACAAATCCTATGCATAAAGAGTTAAATTTTACCCACTAATAAATAAAAACACTGCATTAAGAATAGAAAACGGAGTAACAATCTTTAAATCTATAATTTGCCCGTCGCTCACCTATGCGTGATCAATGTGGGGAGGAGCCGAAAATACGCATATTAACAAATTGGAAATAATTCAAAACAAAATTCGAAGACTGGTCACCAAAGCTCCCTGGTTTATTCCTAACGCTCAAATCCAAAGAACTGCATTAAATGCACATTAACCGCATTAAAAAGTACATAAATAAACTCTCGAAAATTTTTTTAAGGCTTGAAGATTGTCCTAGCAAATGAACTTTCAATCTTGGCCGTACAGCTTATGCTCCATCCAGGATATGGTCACGCTTTTCAAAAGATCGCTTAAAGCCATCATAAATTGCTGGTACTAATAAATTCTCGGCTATACGGGTAAAAAAAACCTGCTGGTACTAATGTTATAAACAATATATGGGATGTAATAACGATGAATATGTGTTATTCACAAGTGCGACATTTTTAGTTAAGGCATATTTTTGTATATTGTTTAATTAGTAGGTATATTTTTGTAAATTTTTGTATCAAAGGTAAACACAAACAGTGTATAGATTGAAAAATAAGGTCAAGTAAGTATACTTGTGCCCTGATGTAAATGGAAGAAGACTGTTAAGTCCTTATGTAATGTATGTGTCGGAATAATAACTCCCGAAAGGCCAAAGAACCGAACGGGCAAGAAATATTTAAAAAAAAAACTTTGTTGACACTTTCACCCCCCATAACTCCCCCAAAGATCCGAAACACGACGAAATTATGACAATTTTCTATGCTCCCCTATATAATGTTCCCTACCAAATACAATTCGTATCCCCTAATGAAATCAGAAAAATAATTAAGACTATGCTAAATAAAACAGCCACGATCGGATCAACACAATCACTTTAAAAAATCTACAGGAGAATGCTAATGCGTTTCAAAATAACATTTACAACTCTTCATTGAGAACAGGATATTATCCTCAAACATGGAAACTGTCAGTCATTCACCAAGTAGCGAAACCAAACAAGAATCACTCAAAAGCAGAGAATTACAGACCTATCAACCTGCTATCTATAATGTCAAAAATCTTGGAGAAATTAATACTCATCAGACTGAACAATAATATCAAGAAAACAAACAGTATACCACAGCACCAGTTTGGCTTCAAGTGACCGTACTCTACCACCCACCAACTACTAAGGCTTGCGGAACACATTCACATTGCATTCCAAAAGGGACAAAACATACAATCGCTGCATTCGTAGACATTTCATAAGCATTCGACACAATATGGCACCCAGCTCTCTATTTTAAATTAATTTCAATAGGTACACCCAAATATCTAGTATTTCTTATCCTTAGCTATATAACAAATATAACATTTTCAGTTTCTGCTGGGGTTCCCCAAGGTTCACCACTGTCCCCCACGTTGTTCAATTTATACACAGCAGATATTTCTACTTCAGCACATATAAACACCGTTCAATTTGCCGATGACACTGCACTATATATCTCAGGGAACTTTTTAACAACTCTTCAAACACAGCTTCAGAACCACCTAAATTTACTAGTAAATTGGGCTAATGTCTGTAAAATAAAGTTGAACTCAATAAAATCTGTAGGAAAAATATTCACGTTAAAACCATTCACACACTCTCTTCCATTCGTCATAAACAACGACATTATAAATTGGAAACCAACTAATAAAACAATAAAATAATTGGGCTTAAACTTGGGCGATTCCCGACCCAACTGGAAGCAACATATAGAGGTAAAAACTTAGCAAGCCAAAACTAAACTAATTCAACTCTGACCAACACAGTCAACTCTCCAAATCCAATGCTCTATTACTCCACAAACCAATAATCCGGCCGACTTTATGCTTGTCTGATCTGGACCAATGCTGCTAATTCTAACCTAAACAAAATAGAAGTTATCCAAAATATTTTTTAAGATTAATTACAAAAGCACCATGGTTCATCAGTAACAATCAATTACACAATGATTTAAATATAAACTCAATAAAAAACCAAATAGTTTACCTCGCACACAATTTGTACACTAACATTCCCCTAATTCAAGCATCGTCCTTCTAGAAATTAGGCAAAACACCCAATTATCAAACGAGAATAAACAACAGATATCCCCTCCTTTCATTTGATAAAATGTTCTCAAACTTGGAATACTACTAATCTGGCTTCATGCTTCCTCTCCCCATATATTATTTTTTATAACTGTAATGTGTAATTTTAAGTTAGTGTAAGTTAGTTTAAGATATATTAAGACCATCAAACATTTTGCACAGTTAATATGTAAACTAAACAATGTAATTGTCTTCCAAAAATAAAATTACCCTAAAACAAAGCGGGAGAGAAGATAGCGAGGAACAAATAAATGATAGGAGATCCGAGGGTATGGTAGAGCGATTATATAAGAGATTGTGAATGGGGAGGTGTGAAAAAGAGGAAGGAAAGCTGAGAAAGTAAAGGTCGAAGAATGAGTAAGAACAAAGTGTACTTTGGAATGGAATCTGTGACATATCTGTAAAGTAAGCTGAATTATTAAATAAAGTCGATAACGATAATGAAAATAATTGGGTAATATTCACCAGGAGACTTTTTAATTACAAGGTTTGAAGTTAATTCTCATTATCACTATCTTTAATGCAATTTACCCAACATAGAGGAACATTAATCGTTATCAGTAATCTCAACATTTAAAATTCCAAAGGTGTCAAATAAAAGGCAAATAAAGGTTAAATTCAATATGTATTTCACTGTGCTTGTGTTTTACAATGGTTCATTGCAACCGTCCTCATTTGGGTTTGATGGTGACGTCTATCCTGTAATAGAAGAGTAGTCTCTTGGGGTTCCCTTTCTTGAAGCTCCTCGCGTAGCTCTGAAATGTTCCATATTCCAGAAATGGGCCCACTGTGAAATGGGCCAAGCCATCCACGCCGAAGCCATCCAAAGAATAATGGCCCTGGACACGAATTCATTTTATACTTACATATATAACAAGTATTATTTTTAAAATACGGATAATCATTTCAAACTTTGGAAGTAAATTATGATATTCATGCAATTTTCGATAATTAATTGTAAAAATGCATTTTTTAAAGTTATTGCGAATGTTTGCGGATATCTTTTGATCAGAGTGCATAGTGTAATATTCATTTTGTATTGTCACATATACAGTTAATAATTAATTGATCAATCACCTAAACACTCTAAATCATGACCATATACTTGTTTAATCTAGTCATTCATCATTGATATACACATCATTAGATACTATTTGTGGTCCAGGATAACTTTTAATACTCTAAATAACTTGGAAACACTTTTTGACCAAAATTCTGAAGTTCGGGCATACTCGCCTATGATTCTCGAGGTAATACAATTTTGTCACTACAAATGTTAAAACATATTTTCTTTTATATCAATTTAATGTATCATATTAAGACAAATATAAATTCTTGATATTTGAGATATTATTTGATGAAAACTCTCCAATAAAAAAGCAAATATTTAATGTTGATTTTTACAGAGAAAAATAACTTTCATATTTGCGAAGGGCAAATACGGAAAGTTTCTTCGTAAAATAGACCACATACCTTGCTATAATGACAGTTGTCTCCAATCGTGAGGTTCGAGGCCTCCTGCAAGGCTTTGCTGTATTTACTCGGGCACCATTTAGGAATCGGATGCTTTTCGTAGTTCTCCTTCCAGCCTTTGTTAAACTGTTTTGTCCAGCCTTCCCCCTACAGGACAATTGAAGGTCATGCATATTTAGTTTTAAAATTAATCCTAATAATCTCAGAAAGTTATTTCAAAATTTTATAAACGTTCATAAGGTATAAACAAAGTAATATTGTATAAGGAGGACTAAAGTTATTTTTGGCGAGTCGGTGTCATTAAAGTTACATCGCTTTCATGAAGATTATTTCATCTTTGAAGCCACGAAAAATATGTAATTTTTAAAAGTAATATAAATTATATTAAAATAATGTGAAAGTTGGTGTAGGAAATCAAAAAAGAATTATTTGCATTGACAAACCTCATTAACATAGCATTGATTAGAGGAGGGCGTTGAACAGTTAGCTTTATCGAAATGTAACGATTTCTCATTCTCACGGAAGCAGCCAAGCAGTCCACATGCTATGAACATTATGCAGCTGTAATTTTGCGATAATAGATTTATGTTGTGGGTAAATTTTTGTTTGGTTAATCCATAATAGGGTAGGATAAGCAGTAATGATTAGTTGAGTTTTAAGTGGGTAAATGTTTGCACTATTTTAATAATAGTTACATTTGTGGTCGTGTATGAATTTTGCATTAAAAAATATTAAACTTCGTGTTCGTGTGTGCATATGAGGATACTTCCGTAGTGGGAATTATAAATTATTAATTTTAAGGAAACAGTATCGTGAATAGAGGTTTCATTTAATGCTTATTGAGGGAAGGCGCGACGCGATAATATTAGAGCAGATTTAGGGATTTTTCAAATAGCGGACGGACATAATTAGCAACAGTCGGGTAACATTCAAAGTTCACACGGACATTAGGCTTATTAATTACACGACTGGAGAACACAGAACACCCCCTTTTCGAGAAGACGGCGGCATTGTATTAACCCAGAAGACATTCCGTAAATATACGAACTTTATCAAAGACGAACGGTTGAATAATGTTTAAAGTCCATAGAATCATGAATTAATAACCAGCTCGAGAGATATTATTAGAATGTTACAATAAATGTTATTTTTGCTTGAAAAGAAAAGGCTGATATTTCATTGAATCGCCTTCAATTCAGTAGGTAGTAAATTTCACAGACGTTCCAGGAATCGTGATTTCTCTAGAATAGCGATTTCTCTAAGTTAAGGTGACGTATGTTATACGTCGAACTCATGCAAGTTCATAATAGAAAAACAGAGCTATAGATATGAGTATGAAGTATTAGAGCGATTGAATTACGAGCATTGCAGGGAAAATCAAGTTAAAAAATCGTAAAAACGATACAAATTATTACCCAGCTCGGGGATTGATAAAATAAGTTGAGTTAAAGACAATCGTGAATAAGAAGCACGTTGCATTTTATTTTCCAAAATTACTCAATACTTATGTTTTGTTCCTAATAATTTTGGATAAGTACAGTGTAATCACAAAATACGGCTTTGTTGGTGTAACAGTCAGTGTATCGGGTTGTTATACCCAAGACGAATAATATTTGCCTCCTTTATTGAAATATACTTCAATAAATATATTTCAATACATACTTTTTGTTTAAGTTTATATTTATTAGATACAACTTCAGAAGATCTACATACGTATCTAGCGTTATTTAAATTTTAAAAATTAATATTAATTACCAGTAAACAATCCTATGAATGTATGTAATAAAACACATTACTGTAATAATTAATGTTCGGCTGGGCCCATCCAAATTTGTGATAGAACAGAAGCGCAAGAAAATAAACCCACATTTCACCACTCCCCCATACGCCGCTGGTTTTTATCATAAATATGTATGTATTTGGAATATTGGTTGGACTGTCACACTTTTCCTCATACAGCTACAAAAAGCGAGATTTTAAAGTAAATCTACAATTCTATTTTAGTGCCGACCGGGAATCGAACCCGAAATTGCACCACGAAAAGCTAGTACGCTTTCTCCGAGCCACCTTCGCTCAACCGTAAATAAAAAGTACTTAAACCAGCAAAGAAAAAAGAAGAACAAAACAATAAAAAAGAAAAACTGAAGGAAAACCTCGGTTTCGTCGGCGTAGAAGTCCTCGGTGATGTTGAAAGTGCCGAAGAGGGCAGGAGGGCCGCCATTGCGCCCGCGAAGCGACATCACATCCATCTGCACGATGGGCGTCTGGTCCTCGTAGTTGAGCGCTTCGATCATCGTCACCTCCAGTTCGTAGGGGCCCTGCCGGCAGTCACCTCATTTCATTGACTGATGCTCAGCGCTAATCCCGTGAGTGTAGTGCTTGTTTTATCGCGGGATATGGCGGCGATCTTCCCTCGCTGGCGTGAGATCTGGCGCTGATCTACACTTCCCCAACCAGCTACCTCTCACTAGCGGGACACCGCCCAAGCCGGGACAAGCTCTAAGTACCCGACTTGTCTTCCGGGACGTGTGGTAGTGTAGTGCATGAATATGTGTGAATGTGTGTGTAAGTAAGTAGTGGGGATAGAACAAGAAAGAGGGAGGAAAGATCGTACGCGGCTGGTGTTGGTGGTATTCTCCTTCAGAGAGTGGCTGAATTCGCAATAGCTATCTAGCCAGTATAGAAAATCTTGACACCATCCTGAATTCTAGGCGAGCATAGGCTTCTGCGGCCGGTCTCAGTAAATACTTGGCTGTCCGGGAGACGTCGCCACCTAGGCACAGGTGCCAAAGTTTTGGCCGTCATTCTGCGACCTTCCTCATGGCGAAATGCTTGGAATTTTTAGGAACTTCCAGTAAGAGGCACTTCAGCGTCATCAAATTACCCTGAGCCAGTTTGTAGTACGAAGAGGCCGAAGACGCATCCTTGCTCGCGGTCGAGTTTCACGGAGTCATCGAGATTATGGGGGACATTTCGGGCGAGTCGGTGGACATTGACTTGAAAGAGCTGTCGGCAGTCAAAGTTATTGTGTTGCTACTCTACAGATTGTTCTCCAACAAACTGACACTTCATGTTGTTGGAAAATCAGCTGTTTCGAGATCACCAGAGTTCCTTGGAACTAATTGGGTGAACTTTGCATTGTACGAAGAAAAGTCAATATATTACAAAATTAATCATTAAAATTATTTCACACAGTAAATACAGTTGCGTTTCTAACATTTTAACATACAAATGAAAACAATATCAATCCGGTTTATTTGAATAAATATTAACATTTTTAAAAAAACAATTTGTTTTCAACAATCATCCACGAATTGAAAAAAAAAACTACGTTCAAAATAGGTAACCTATTACACCTACAACATAATCAGCTACATGAAAAGGTTTTTTAAAAAAAATGACACAAGATATATAATAATTACCAATAAAAAATATAACTTTTACAAAAATAACAATTCACAATTTCATTTAAATGTAAAATGACAACACAAAAATTCAAACATTTTATTTGCTAAGTCGAACCATTTTAGACTTTCTTCTTATATATTTAAGTTTATGTAAGTGAACATTGCGAGACTTACTATTATGTAAACATACTCCTTAGCACATCAAAACAATGCATAAGGACAAAAAAAGGCTATAATTTTTCTAAGTTTCTTATAGTTTTGTGTTCATTATATGGCGTTAATTTCATATCTCTCTCCGACTGTTACTGCCCCCTAAAGTTTTGAATGAAGTTTACATTGGGCACTGCATTTATACCTTAATAGGATATTATATAGTGCTTTTACGATACATTTATTATATCTTCAAGGAACCTAATTTCACGCCATCTATTAAGTGCGGAGGTTTCTACAACAACCTATCCGTAACTGTATAGATCGATTTGGGAGATTAATAGGTTTAATGCCACTCTTTAAAAATCTAAACTAAGTCTTTTGAAACAGCTATTAGAAAGTATTAAAATTTGGAAACAAATGTTCTCAGGTAAAAAATGAAAAGGTCAATACAATATCATACTTCAGAATTAAAAATAAATACTCACTATTTTTTGGCCTAGGACAACACCTATTCCTGCGCAGCAGAGCAATCCAACAACGACAGGGCTCATCATTGTGAGAGCTAAAACCTCAAGCTCCGAGCGAATACATTTATACTCACCTAGACCTCACATAACATCCCCGTTACGCTTACGTAACACACGCGGTCATACAGATGTTTGGGAACAGGAGCGTTCGTAATGCATATTTGATGACCAACTGCGTTCGCACCGCCAGTCTCGTTTGTTGTATTTGCGATTTTATCATCCCTCGGACGTAGATGCATCACAGGAAGTATTCAGTGCAAACATAATCATATATTTTGCTTGTGATATTGATCTTAGTGTAAAGTAAATGGCTATGAGTACTTTTTGCAAAAGAAAAAAATGACGTTTGCAAGGAAGTGAGTTACAGAGCCTCAGAATAGGGGAGTGAAAATATAACAAGGGCGGGAACAAAACAAGAATATGATGTTGTGCCTGTGGCAAGAACTACAATGAATCACAACCAGAACAATTATATATTTCGTCTAATATGTTTCTGTTAACTTTCCATTTAAACTATACGGTTTGTTCCTCATAAAAAAACCCTTCGCTTTGAAGAGATGCATTATTGTAATCGTGCGAATTGGCCATTTTTAAGCAGCAAAGTCATATAGGGAGTCAGTACAAAGTGACGGAACGAGAAATGAACCATGGAATTTATAATACTAATAAGTATACAAACAATAACCAAGCTCCAGTGATTTATAATAGGTAGCAGGCAGTTTAAGAAAAAAATCTTTACTGCGAGAGTTAAAAAAAGTAGAGAGGCAGGGGGAGAGACAAGCAACTGATAGGATAGGAACGAAGATGAGATAGGAAAAAGCACTCCCAGGCTGCCGGAAACGAAGGCACGTCCTACGCCTGAGAAAGGAGACCTCATCAAACGACAAAGACGCACAGAAACGAGGATGAAGCAAAAAAGGGGGTGGGTGAAGCGGTGGACAAGTCGGTCTCGGACGCAGCGCCGAGGGACCGCAAGGGGGAGGTCATAATCTCCAGCAGTGGTTTTTGTAATGGGCATGAAAAGTAAATGCTTTTTTCTGCGTGTAAATAACCTTAATTTAATTATTTCTGCGCGCCGACGAAAGCTGCACTCTACTGAGATTGGGCTGCAGGTGCGGGGCCTCCTTGCGAGATTCCGCGGGGGGCCGCGCATTCATAATTCCGCTTCTACTGCGCCTTAAAGGAGAGTCAGGGCGACAGCAGGGGGGGGGGGCGGAGAGGAGGGCAGGAAAGACGACGGGGGGAGGGGGGGAGTGGGAGGAAAGAAGAAGAACGGAAAAAGATTGAGAAGGGGGAGGGAAAGGAGAGCAGGAGGGGCCGGAAGGAGGGAAGAAGGAAGGACGGAAAGGAGGGCGGGAAGGAGAACGGAAAATAATGCCAGTTACATGGGCATATTCGTGGCCAACACGAGCTTTTAGAGAGCGGGTTAGTTTCTCTGAAGTAAGATGTATTTGGCCTGCGAAATATTTTGTAATTAAAAAAAATTGAATTCTCATTAACTTGCTATTAACTTGCTATTTCTAACTCTATTTCTTTGATCAACATTTTTTCTTTCTTGTATATCCAATAAGGCGAAAGTTATATAATGCAGCAGGAAAAAGTTCAGATGTAAGGTCAGCAATAACATTTTGACTTTCGGACACTGAAAAAGCTTTTTTTTTCTTTTACACGTAGTGCATTACTTTCTCGAATATGTGGTATAGTTAAAATAAAGGTTTGGGAAGTTATTGACACAGAAAAAGTGTTTTTTCTAAGAAAGTCCATCCGTCTGTCGTTGTCTCCCCGTCAAGGGTGGTCTCGCTCGCTTTCCCGTAAGCCTCCCATCAGTTATTCTTTACCTTTTATTGATTTCATACTGAAAACATTTATCAATATTTCCCTTCTGTGATGAATTATGACCTTCGCTCTTTACCTTTTCCTGTGGTGTCTTCTTCCTCGCAACAAGTATGGTAATAATTCGAGTTTATATCACATCCAAATTCTTTCGCATTAAATTTCATAATTTCCCTTAATGCGTTCCACAAGTTTTATTGTGCTCTGACTACATAATTTATTTCCCCGTTATCCGCAGATAACTCACCACAATACACATTATCCCCCTATTTTCCCAATAAATCTCATATGGTAAGACTTGCGTGCATGGAGAGGATAATAAGAAACCTGAAGCATAAAATTACGTTGTATCGCTCTCTTTGCGCTCCTAATATCACTTTATAATTCAAATTTTCCAACTTCCAATTGTTTCTGAGTACTGAAATACTGAATATCAAATAAACATAATATAATAGTAGTACAATTATGTTGTTATACTTGTTATTTTTGCGCACTTTTTTTTTTTTGCATCGATCAAAACGTTGGATTGACAGATTTATTATTTCGTGTTTCTGGGTCAACTGCCAAGGTATTATGTCGCATAAGTGTAGTGCACATTGGGATGTGGCAGCGATATTCCCCTGCTGAATAGTGAGGTCCAGCGCCGTCCTACACGTCGGCTAACCGGGTTTTCCCCAACCAAGAATCGGCTAACTGCCCTAGCTCGACAACATTGGTAGTGTAGTGCATGTAAATGTATGGGGCGTGGCTATAAGGGGGGAGAATAGGACAAGAAATAGAAAGGAAACATCATCCGCGGCTCGTTCGTTACTACTACACCGGGCATTCACCTGGTGAGATCGAAGCCACGGAAAATATCGATCAGAGCAGCCGACGGAATTCATCAGGCAGTGACTGAATTCGAACTGTCTAGACAGTGTCGAAAATCTTGCCACCGTCGGGACTCAAAACCTACGATCTCACGGTTAGAGTCTTATGTACGTATATACGCTTATGTATGTATGTATCTGTAACTTCGATACTATCTGCGCATTAAATTTGACAGCGTTTTACATCGCAGTTGAAAATTACGTTATGTGTTTGACTTTTCTTCGTGTAATCCAAGGTAACATCAGCCCCAATTACCTTGAACTATTGCTACTCTACTGTTATACAACTAGAGTACGAAAATAACATTCCAATCAACAAAAATGTATTGCAACGTCTGTGACCTCGTAAAAGATTTGATAGAAAATTATTGAATTTTTTTCTGAGACGAGTAACATGAGAAATAGGAATACTTTTCATTGTAACATAGGAAGACTTTTCAGAGTCATTTTCTTTATATGAAACGTAAGTAAATGACCAAAATTGAGAATCTTTTACCGTAACACA